TGCAAAGGTTCATTTATGGACTTAAGCATGCCTCTAGGAATGACAATAAATGTTTTGATGAAATAATCAAAGAGTTTGATATTTTCACAAAAACAAAGATAAACTTTGTGTATACAAAAGGTTAGTGAGAGCCTCCAAGTCATTGTTATTCTACATAAAAGAAAAAATAAAATAAAAACTACTTCTTAGCTTTTAAATATTATCATAATAAATTTAGATATCTAAAAGGAATTTCGTCAAGTATGACGTGAGAGAGCAACCTACATGCTAAGAGTCAAGATCTATAGAGATAAATCACTTAGAATGCGATGGGTCTCCCAAGAAAGATACAATGACAAGATACTAAAAGGTTTAGTATGAAAACATCAAAGAAAGATTTACTCTAATGCTATATAACTTGATGGCCAAATACAACGGATCTATAGAGTAAGTTAAGGAACCAAGGTTTCAACAACGATCCAAGCATGTATTGCAATGCTACAATCCGATTAAATGATTATCATTCATAGTGATATAAGGATATAAATGGTCCATACTAACGACAATATAGCTAACCCCTTGACTAAGCCTTTGTTGTAGCTGAAACATGAGACCCTTACTCAATCATTAGGATTAAGAGACATGGCTAGTTGGCTCTAGTGCAAGTAGAAGATTGTTAGCGTAGTTGCCTAAGATCTAACCTTTTTTGGATAAGTTTGAATTATTATATTATTGCATCACTTATTTTATTAATAATAAAAAAATCTTTCTATTAATTCTTATATCTTATATTTATTAAATAGAATTAGATAGAAGTTCATATGATATGTATTTACATTAGTAATTGATCAAAAAATATGAGACAAACACTAATGCATATAAATGATATCATTAAATATCCCAAGTCGTAGCATTATCAAGAATGGATATTGACTATATACGAGTTAGACTTATGAGTACTATGCTCACGCTATATGATAGTAGTAGAAGATCTCACACATATTAGCATGATAATGCCAAAGCAAGCACTTGGGTGATTTATGTTAGAGAACATATCACTCGGGCTTGACTCGCCATGAGAACCCATTTGGTTTAGTTTATGAGAATCTCTTACGAGATGAGTACAAATGATCCTTAGACTTGAAGTCATCATGATTATCTCATTGAAGGATTTATGTACTTTGACACTCATTTCAATAGACCTAGTAAAAGTTTTCACGTAGGTGATTTGTTGGGTGTACTAGGAATCTAATGGAGGTAGGTGGATGAATAAGATAAGACATGTCATTTCTTATATGCTAAATGAGCTATCATATTACACTTCGATAAATGTCCGCTTAAGAAATCTATGGCCACAGTAGAAGTACACCAATAGAGCATAGTTTACTCTAAGAGTTAAGACATTTGAAAATTGAATAAAACTTATGCAATCATGATCGAACAAGACTAAAAATCAAGTTTGAGATCACACTATGATAAGTTGACATAAAAACTAAATTGTATGGTAATCATGCTCGTGAAAAGTAATTACGAATTAATTAATCCTCCTAAAGAATTAGGTAGTAATGATGTCTTACTAGAGGTTAATCTTGATTTATGTCTCAAGACATAAAAGAGGTGTCTTTTATCTTTGATACATTGCCAACATATCTTGGAGCCTATTGAGTCACACATATAAGTTTAAGCATTCACATAATTAAAGAGAACCAAAGATGTTGAAAAAAGTTTCCATTTAAAAGTTTCCTATTTTGGAAAAAGTTTTTGAAAATGACAAGTTTCCTAAAATCAAAAGTTTTCTATTTTAGAAATCAGCTTTCTAATTTGGAAGTCGGTTCCAAATTTGAAAGTAAATAACCTAAAAGGAAATTAGTTTCCTAATTTAGGTTTAATACTATTTTGAAAAATTATTTTCCAATATGGGTCACCTAAAATTATATAACCTAATTTATTTAAATAGTCCAAATTAATTAATTGGGCCAAAGTAATTTAGGCCAATAGGTTTAATTAAAAGCCCGAAAGATATTTTGATGGGAGAATAAATATGAACCTTATTGGATAAGAATGAATGTTTCGAGAGGATAAGATCAAAAAACTCATATGCATAATAACTCCTAATCCTTCAAGGATTAGAAAGCAACAACCTACAATCCTTTAAGGACTCATTGCCACCCCTTCCTTGTCCTTAGAGGACAAGGAAGCCTCTCCTCTATATACATGGGAGAGAGGTGCAACAACAACAAGAGAAAAGAGAGAAGAAATGACATAAAAGAAAGGAAAAAAAAATAAGGTACTTGGCATTGAGTAAGGAAAAAAGAGAAAATAGCTTTCTCTCTAAAAACCTTAGCACACACCATTTTCACTTTCTCTCTTAGGGTTGTCAAAAAATTACCTTGATTATATTTCAAAAGAAAACACTAAAAAGTCGAAAAAGAGGGGCTAAACAAAAGATATTGTGAGTATTTCTAAATCAATTGACATTACCATCTCAATATAATTGCATTGTTTTAATATCAACAAAAAAAATTATATTTATATATCAAAGTTATCATATAAACCATATTATGATTTTTTTTTAACAAATTTTTGTACATAAATATATTAATAGATATTTAGAATATTTATATAATCTTGATAGAAAATTTAAATATTTCAAACATGCAAATAATTTTTGTGTGCATAAATTACTTACAATCTAATTGATAACTAAATAAATTGACACCAACACTTGACAAACTATATGTTCTAATGGACACATTAGATTAAAAAAAAAAAAAAAGCATGTCCTTATACAATATATTTTCAATAAATCCGATTGGTTCCCTATACTCGTTAGAATCGTCCCAAGAATATCCTTATACAATATATTTTCATTAAATGTCATATCCTTATGCCTTATGATCTTCTTAATCCGATCCTCCTAAAACCGATAACCAAAATCATCGAACCATAACCAATGAAGTAACACTTTCTAGTCTTAAGATCAAGCTTATATATATCATTAGTTCTTGCATGTACATATGAAACACAACTAAAGGTTCTCAAGTGTGAGAAATTTATCTCATTTTCTTATCATACTTTCTCGGATAATTTGAACCCTAATGAAACCGAAGGTTCTCTATTTATGAGGTAAGCTATTTTATTCACTCCATTAGCCTAGAATACATTGAGCAAACCAGAGTGAGATCTCATGCTCCTTGCTCACTCATTCAAAATTCTAATCATTCTTTTAGCTATACCATTTTGCTCTAGTGTCATAGAAACTATCTTAATCATTTTGATCCTATTGCTCGAATAGTAATCTTTGAGTTATGTGTTAACATACTCTCCTTTGTTGTCCGACCTCAAGTCTTTGATCTTCAAACCAATTTGATTTTTAACTTCAACCTTTCAATTTTTGAATGCAACAAACAAATTAGATTTATTTTTCAAAAAATAAACCCATACCTTTCTAGTGGAGTCATAAAACAAAATGATATAATAGCGTGAGCCTTTAAGAGAAGTCATAGGGATCGGTCCCTATACATCTATATGCATCAATTCTAGCTTTTATTCATTTAAGGATCTATCAAACTTTAAGAAACGAGACTCTCTTCTATTTTTCGTAGATACAAGCCTAAAATAAACCAACATTAACATGTTTTAACTCTAGTAATTTTCCCATTGATACTAATTATTTCAAACTCTTTTCATTGATGTGCCTAAGCCTTCAATGCCATCGTATTAAATCACCATCACCATCAAAATTAGCCACTATTGTTGTATCTCTTGTTATAGCAATCATATGCAAAGTTTCAACCTTAGTGCCATATGCTACAACCATATTTTCCTTTGTTATCTTCCATGATCCACTCCAAAACATTGTTGTGTAACCAACATCATCGAGTTTACTCATAGAAATTAGATTATTTCTAAGACCTGGAATACATCTAACATTTTGCGGTTTCTATTACATTATGTTGGCGCTTCCGACACTAACCTCACCTCTTTCCATGATGTCCGGGTTTATCATTTGTATGATAAATTTTTCCAAAATTTCTGTAACATATTTTTGTAGAAAATCTTTATATGGAGTACAATAAAACGATGCACTTGAATCTAGAATCCAAGACTCAATAGGACTATCCACACTACAAATTAATTCATATGGGATTTCATTAGTCGTTGCATATGCGAGTCATCATCTTAATTATTCTTCTTATTAGGAGCCTTACATTTATTTTTAAAGTGCCTTTTTTTGTTACAATTCTAGTAAGTGATCTCTTTACGATTTTTGAATTTCCCTATATCCTTTGATTTTGACCGATCATGACTACGATTATGACCTCGCTAAAAGTCCCTTCCTCCGATATTAGTACTCGATTAGAACCCGAAAGTTCCTTAACTCACTCCTGCGAAGATCTTCACCGACCATTAAATCTCAAACATCATCGAATTTTAGTTTCTTGTTCCTTGATGAATTGTTTATTGTTGTTACCATTCTAGACCGACTCTCACGTAAAGAAGATAAAAAAAAATAGTTCCATAACTTCATCATCAACCCAATCGAGGTTAGTGTGTAGCTTCTTTTGGTATAGATAATTTTCAATCTACATCTTCTAGAACCCAAAGTCTTTGCCATCACACATATCAATCCTGATTTTTCCTTCTTCCGCCATCGTTCCTACTTACCCCGCTAACTTAGGATTCTAATACCAGTTGTTAAGAAACAAATCAAGCAAAAGAATATAGTAGAAAGATAAGCACAATCACACATTACAAAAATTTTATGTGATTCGGCAATGATACCTACTCCATATCCGCACTAGGAGTTCTTATTAGGGTTTATCAAGTGACGGCTACAAATATTACGAGCTTCTATTCACATCGGTCTCCACAACTTAACACTTAGGACATAGGGAGTACATAGAAAGTTTCGACAAATAAACCAGGATATTACAGCAAAAGCCAAACTCAGAACACGCATAAGGCTACAATTATTGAGCATAATTTACAAGATTAAAGGATCAACAAATAAAATACTGCTAAGCTTGAGCAGGCATGGAGACAAAGGTTCCATGGAATCCATAAGGCACCCTCCGGGGCAGCGTTATTATAGCTGTTGGCTCACTTCCAAACCTCTTTGCATCAATTAGGTAAGCCTGGAAGAAAAGGCAATTAATTAAATTACGAGCTAATGCAAATTAACAAGTGCAGAAGTAACTGCATACGTTCTTACTTGAGAGACATTGTTCTCTTCATTGTGAACGTAAGTAATTATCCAGCCATCATCTTCTTCAACGCGTCCCTCTTTAGGAACAAAGGCAATTCCAGTGCAAAATATATTTTCAGCAAAATTATGGTATTCTACTCTTATCAGCTGCTCATCTCTCTTCTCCTCTCCCTGCTTTATTACCGTTTGTTGTATAGATTGTTGTTCATGAAAGTACAATTTGGCGACGCCTCCATATTTAGCAATGCCTGGCAGGAAAACAAAAGGTATACATATGATGCAAAATGCAGTAACTAACATAAATGTTCATGAAAAAATTGATCATTTGTTACCAGAAGTAGAGCTTGCCACAGAATCAATAACTTGAGCGTAACCATACTTGTGTTTTAGTCCAGTGAATTCTCCATTGACCAAAGGAAAATCCATGGAGAAATCGGTTCCGGTAAGATTTTTCTCCTTAACTTCTCCGGTTAACAGGTTTAATCTCCACTCGTATGCTCGATGGAAGAGATATCCATCTTCTGTTGAACCATCAGCATAATTTTCAAAATTAAATCCTTTTGAGAACCAATCGAACTTTTTTTGACCCCAGTCAGGACCTGGCAAGATTGCAGCAAGAGCCCTGCACCCCCTCACTACAACCTATTCTCGGTTTACACATGACGCTAGCTATTATCAATCTGAGGCCTTTAACTGCAAGTAAATATTATCAATGCATAGAGCAACTATTTACCTCCTGATCACCATCCTCGAAACAATTGAGAATGTGAAATGTACAATTTGGTTCTACCTCAAACCACTTGACAGAATCTGCATCACCGTAACGAGGCATTATTCCAATCCTTGCAGGCCCTTCCTTATCATAATATAATAGTCTGCACATATGAGCATAGTTGCCTATGTGAAATTGGGATACACTACTTAGAATAATTTTATGCGAATAACAAAATGGCCTTAATTTACTCACCCAGCACCCTTGTAAAGTCTACCGGTGTCGATTATGAGTGGATGATCAATGATTATATTATACCTGCAGATGCAAGAAGAGGAAAAAGTTTCATTGTACTAAGGACATGTCTCGAAATTTATATTTTCCATTGCCTAGGACAAAAATTTCCTTACTTACTGCTTTGTAACCCCTATATCATGGCTTAGGGCACATCTATCAAACTTTAGATCAACTTTATGCAACAGCTTCTTCCCGTCGGCTGGAAAAAAGTAATTCAATCTGATCCACCTTAACATGCCAACTTCACTTTGGCTTAAAAAAATTACAAAATCACAAGAACCACCACAAAACTATTTAAATGGATGGAGTACTAGATGTACCGGATATAACTCCTACTACGTAGTAAGGTTTCTGAGCATCAATCCCCATTATAACCAGCTCCCTGGATTCTGGAGCTCTCTGTACCAAGTACGTCAACAATATTGTCAGCAATGTTATTATCCAACAAGAAAAAAAAAGAAAGAAAGGAGATTGTGATAAGAACCTTAGGATGGCTCGTAAAAGGCCGAGTCCAACCTCCATCGACATCCCAATCCTCCAAACTTTCTAGTGTAGAAATATCAACTTCTTGAGGCAAGTGGTTCTCAGCAATTGCATATAGCTTTCCTGAATGCTCAAAAACACTAGTGTTGCGCAAGTACTTATTAGGAACGCCAAACCTCCACTGCAAAGATACAGATTAAATCAATTTCATCAGGTTTGTCCCATTTTCAATTAACGTTTTTTTGCAACAAGTTCCAACCTAGCTACTAGTTATCACCAGCTTCATCCTGAAGGCCAAAATTTTTACTATAGCTGCAGTACTATGCAATACATACTGTATTTAGAACCAATGATGATAAAATTGCTAGTGAATCTCCTTCTATAGCAGGAAGGAAAGATGGTTTGTTTAATTGTGTCTCTATCGTGAATGTTTCTGACTCAACATATCTATTGTTATAAGATATGGTCCACTCTCCGTCAGGTTTCTTTTTGAAATGCAGTGCATGAAGCATTCCTTCTCCCTCTGCCCAGACGTGGCTTGATCTTCCAAAAATTGAAACTGTTGATTTTAGGCCTCCAAAAAGAGGATTTGGACCTGCATTGGTTAGCCACACAACAACATAAATAAATTAACGATGCCATTGAACTTCGAAAAAGGAAAAAAGAAAAATCACGAACACATGTTTCTTGATGTAAAAACTGTAATATATTAATACCTTATTTTGGGGTAAAAATAGCTTAATTAATCAGTTTGTATCTTAGAGAGATTCAGATTAATTATTTGAATTGTTCAGGGATATTCTAAAGTAAGGAATGAACGATAGTTCAGTCCTTACATTTTGTTCAAATCTCAACTACTTCCCTAAGTTCAAATTCCTTCTAATTCCTGAACTAACAGCATGCAATAATTCGATTTAATCCTTCTATCATCCTATGTCAATGAAATGTGGTAAAAACTGTGAGGCTTATATGTGTCTATGATGTTTTATATATACATAGGGCTGATCAAAAAGATTAATAAGAAAGAAATTAAGTAATTAAGTTGTGTTATGGAACTAAATGCAGAGAATTCATGGAACTAATTATGTAGGCATGGAGCACTTAGATTACAGGCTGCTAATTCGATGTCAGGTAATATTATGTTTCACGTGGATTTTTACACTTCGCCTATAATAAAATTATATTACTATGAAATAAATAAGGAAAATGCAATTGTTTATTATTCAGAGATGAATTTGAATTAGAGACCAAATTGAAATAGAAGTAACTTTTGATGGTGAAATTACAAGTCCTCAAAATTTGAGGACTGATTTGAAGAGGAAATGAGATTCAGCAATCCTTGTTATCTTTGTGAAATCTTTTTTACATACCCTATTAGTTTTTCTTCTTGATTTTTTCATCATAATTATACCCTTTTAACTAGTTGGTTGCTTTCGAGTTAATCTCCTCTTCAGGATTTGGTCATGGATTTACCTTAATCATGTAAAACATGTTCATATTAAAGATGGAGATATTTAGCATACCATTTCTTACGTAAACACCCTCCTGCAAATCTGTCGGAATCTCCCCCTCAGTGCAAGTAACCTCAACAGCTTCTACAGTTTCATCCACAGGTGCAAAGTTGCTCTGCAATGAGCAACTGAAATGTTAATCGCCTAGAATTGGATTAATGAAAAAAAACCAAAAAAACAAAGCATGTTGTGATTGCACTAATATATAGGAAGTTAATTACTAATAAGCAAGCATTTCAATTAACATATGGTACTTCTTACTGAAATTTCAAGCCAAGTAGCTCACAGATATAGAGGAAACATATATTATACCTGTGATGAGAGTAAGGGCTGATCAACAAACCGGAACATGGTATCCACCAATGTATCCAAAATTCTGCTAGAAGTGCTTTGGATCAATGTACGAGAAAAATCTACCTTCGTTGGCAATTTCTGCAACTCCTTAATTAAAGGCTGGACACAACATTATAATTAACCAAGTCAGCATTTATGCATAAGAGGTATGTTTAATGCAATGTAGTTTTAATTAAAAAAAAGCATAAGAAGAGACTGATATACCTTAAATGTTGAGGAAAGTGAAGTTCTGAGATGATCAAGGTTGTGAGAGACAGAATGTTTGTGAATAGACCCATTTACTTGCAAAGCAAAAGTAAAGGCTGCCATCTTAATTAGTTACTACTAATTTCCTCCCTCGTATATATATAGACAAAGAACGTGATTCTTCTTAATTTTTTTGTGTGTGGGGACAGGATGTAAATTCAAGGAACTAAGGTTCATTCACCCTATAGACATTAAGAATTATCAGTACTCTTCTATGTTCAAACTCTTAACATCCTTGTTAGTGTAGATGAAAGAGAGTAAATTACCAGCTAGATCACAGGTTCTGGTGGTAAACTAATATGTAAATATTTTTTGTAAATACTTTTTTTCCCATTTCTATCAAAGGTTAATTAGAGTTTAGAAGATGAAAGAGTATTAATCATACTATATTTGTTTACGGGCTAATGTTATTATATAAGCACAAATGATCAAAACGCACTGAATACCAGCAGGATGTCATGATGAAAAGACCAATGCTAGTGATTGATATATCTCGAAATTGATGTAAGATAAACATCACAATGATAATTAATTTCACTCGTGAAAATATAAAGTCACGTTGGTACGGCTTAGTTGGATTAAACCTGTAATTTAGTTGCTAACTCATACTCCAAAAGAATAAATCATTAATCATTAGTAGTAGTATAAACCAGTTAGGCCAACAAGATGGAATATTTTTACTGCATAAGCAAGCATCATAACCTTCGCAAAACGATAAATCATTAATCATTAATAGTAGTATAAACCACGTTGGCCAAAAAGATGGAATATTTTTTATTGCATAAGTAAGCGTGGTAACCTTCCTCGCAAAAGGATAAATTTGTGCTACCAATGTAACGTGCTACCTATATATATATATATATATAATGAAATATTTTTGAATTAAATTTTATATTAATTTAAATTAAGTCCATCATGATTTTATGATTTAGATTAAATCAATGTTAAATTTTTTATCAATCATTGAACTTCTTGTTACACCAAATATAACGTGGTACCTATATTATGTGGTCCTCCAAGTTTAGATCTTGATCATACATCTTAGCCTCTCTACTATAATTCTGGACATCTCAACTCTCACAATTCCAATTTGCTGGTCCTTGTGTTAAATTCAATTACGTAGATGGCTGCCACATATGTACTGTGTATGTGTGAAGATTCGTCAGTTATATTCTGAATTAATAAAATTGATTTTTTTAGAGTTTTTAGATGCTAACAAATACTAACAATCATATATTATTAAATACCATTATATTCATCAGGCCAGTGCAATTAATTTGAGTAAATTATAAATTATCTCTCTAGTTTTAAGAAATAATTTAATTAGCATTTTTATTTTAATAATTAAATATTCCATTTCTTAATCAATATTGACCACATTTAATTTAATATTATTTTATCTCAAAAATTCTTCTTTTTTTTTCCATCAAATTTTCCATAATATCTATTTAATTTTTTTTATATTTAAAAAAAATTAAAAAAGAATATAAAATAGATAAAAAGGACTAAATGATTAGTTGTTAAAAATAAAAAAGCTAATTAATTTGTTTCTCAAAAGTAAAGGGACTAATTTAGAACTTACTCAATTAAATTAGTAAATCAAACTTTGTTTTGTTTTATATACGTCAGACCACATGTATGTCGAGCGTGCTAGTTTATTTATTTGGTATTTGATGCCAAGATGCTAGGTTAAGATAGTCAAACATTTTCTGAAGACCTTGAAGAGCTACAAAGATGCCTTTATTATGTTATTCTCATTAATTTTTTATATTAAAAAAAGATAAAAATGGAAAAGGAATCCATGTATACCATGTTCAATTATTCTTAGATTTTGATTTGATTAATCAGTGCACCATGCATGAAATGGTATCATTACCGCAATGGAAATAATTTTCATGTAAGCCCTAAAATGTCATGTATGTGTAACAGATTCCTATCAATTTTCTCATTATTTCATTATGCAAAGTGCAACTTTTCAATCAAGCTAAAATTTACAATCATATACAGCAACAAACAAAGACAAAATCCGGATGCCACTCAAATTGTACAACTTATAATCAAATTAAGTGCTAGAGAAGGCTAAATTTCTGACCAAAAGTGGTACCATTAACATTATAATGCTGTCAAATTTTGCAGGAGGATTGGCATGAAATGACGAGGGGTGTTAGGTTGGAAGGCCTGGATCAGCTAGAGTCTATGACGAGGAGGCAACTAAAATTACAGCATTTATTTAGTATCTTAGTTTCTATATTTATCTCTAGCTTTAATTATTCTGTAAAGTATTTAAGGGTAATATTATGACTCTTATATAAGTCAAGAGTTGGAAACTCTAGGCAACTTCTAAGATATTATATACAGACTTTTGCTTTGCTTTGAATTTCAAAAACTTGAGTTTTCTACATCCTCTTTTTTCAATTTTCAAGTTTCAAAATAGATGGTAATAGAAGCTTGAGTTTTTGTTCAACTTGCTTAAGCTTCTTACGGAAGTTTAATTTTGCACACTCACTACGTTAGTTGGTATCAAAGTAAGGCTGCTCATCTAATGGCAAATGTTCGGATTACGGTAGGCAACAATCTTTAGGATGATGATTGAAAGGTTGAGATCCTAGACTTTGAGGTGGCATTGACAGCTTTAAAGCAATGAATGGATCACAAATTCTAGCATTTAGAAAGGTGTTTTTAAGAGATTGTAGATTGGTTAGATGTTTTAGGAATAGATGCCAACGGGAATCGGAATGATGATAGGCCACGCACCAAAGAAGATGTCGCTCACGGACATCCTATTATCAAACATGCCCCTGGTGTTCAAGGACATAGACAACAATTTTATGAGGGAGAGTTAGATGATGAGGAAGAATATATTGATGAACCTATTATGAGGCATGCTGGCCAAAGGAGGTGTGATTATGGTGATAGGAAATCAATTGCTTTAAGCTAAAGGTGGATACCCCTTGTTTTAATGGAAATCTAAATATTAAAGAATTCATATATTGGATTGCAAATATAGAAAAATTCTTTAAATACATGGAGATTCTAAAAGGGAGAAGTGTGAGAATAGTTGCATGTAGACTAAAGGGTGGAACTTCGCATGGTAAGAAAGGCTACAAATTAGGAGGAATCGTGAGGCGAAGGCATCGGTTAGGACTTAGTACCGAATGAAGCAGACTTTTAATAAGGAATTTTATGAAAGAACAAAAACCTTAAGATAAACTAGTTTTATTAATTTCATCCATACTAATGATTACGAGTGCATACTAAGGTATATACGGTAGCTCTATTTACAAGATAATCTTAACTTGCGAGATAAGAACCTTAGTTAAGCTTGAACATAAAGAAACCGTATAGTAGATAAAGACTTTGAGTTTGTTAAGAGAGGAGTTATCGTTGTGACTTCGATAGAGAGTGTTATGGATGAGGATGGTTAGTAACATCATCCTTAACATGCCTTTATAAGCCGAGTATAGTATCCACAACACACATTTTGAATCTATGAGCTTCATGCATATGTAGAGAAAGAGGCTCGGTTAAAAAGTTAGCAAGCTAATCTTGGGAGGCAACATAAACAACATGTAGACTCGTTGGCTTATACTTGAGCACGAATGAATTGAAAATCAAGGCTAATGTGTTTCATCCTGCTATGGAAGACGGGGTTTTTACACAAGTAAATAGTGTCAATATTATCACAAAAGACTGTTGGAGTTGAATTGAGAACTAGATGAAGCTCAATGAGTAAATTTTGGAACCCGAGTTGATTTTAGTTACTAAGGCTACAACGAGCACGATACTCAACTTCGGTTGATATTGTGTGTTGTTTCTTAGAGCACCAACCGATGCGTTTGACTCCTATAAACACAACATATGTTGAAGTTGAAGTGCGATCATTAAGATCTCTTACCCAATCGACGTCGGAGTAAGCATGAAGGTCTAGGGTTAAGGAAGCTTGAAGATGGATGCCAAAGGAGATAGTCTATTTAAGATAGCGAAGAACTCGTTTGGCAACCGTCCAATAAGAGGTCCGAGGATTGTGTATGAATTGAGATAGCTTGTTCACGGCATAACGGATGTCAAGACGTATGAGAGAGAGGTATTACGGAGCCTTAATAATCATATGAAATTGTTTAGCATATGTGAGGGGTTGACTATTGTTAGTAAAAAGTTTTTCGAAGTGGACATTGGATTATGAACTTTCTTTGTTTCAAGCATGTTGTGCTTGTGTAGGAGATTAGTGATGTATTTCTACTATGGGAGGAATAGCTCGTGTTTATTGTGTATAACCTCAATGCCAAGAAAGAAAGGGAGATCCCTAAGATCCTTAAATGAAAAATAAGTAGCAAGATCATGAACTACCGTATCAATTACGAGTACAAGAGTTTCTTATAAGTATAAGTATAATATCGTCTATAAATACTACCAAAAATAGACGAGTACTACCCTTGGAAAATATGAAAAGAGAGGTATCTAAATAAGAGTTTTTGGGATCCATAGGAGAGACGAAAGGTCTTGAGTTCTTAGTACCACACCCTAAGTGCCTACTTAAGGCCATAAATAGCTTTACGAAAGTAGCATGCATGGTCCGAAAATTATAGGTGTGTGAACCTAGAGGGTTGCATTATGAACGCACATTCACTAAGACTTGCTTTGGAGAAAGGCATTATTGATATCTAGTTGGAGCAAAGGACAATGCTACTAGATAGCAAGAACCAATATCAAACGGACTATGGTGGGCTTGATAACGGGACTCTATGTTTCAAAAAAATCTACTCCAAGTTATTGCTTAAACCGTTATGTAACTAATCGAGCTTTATAATGCTCAATGGTCCTATTAGGCTTGGGTTTAATTTTGTATACCTACCGGCAACCCATAAGATTTTGAGAGGAGTTAGGAGCAATAAAATCCCTTTGTGATTATGGACTAAGACATCAAATTCTGTGTTCATAGCTTGATGCTAATTATGGTGTTTTTGAGCTTACAAAAAAAGTGAAAAGAGTAATATCAATAGTAACTACAACGTAATCAAATATAGCCTTGAGTTTGAAAATATGATTTTTTCATCTAGTGATAATACCCGAGGGTTTTGGATGAATAGGAGAGCTAACTAGTGAAGGAGTCGGACTATGATGAACGCTCGTAAAGGCCTCGGTAGGAGATGTGGAGGTTGTGACAGATTGGGCTAGAGACTCAATAGAGATAGGAATGGGGAAAGGAATTATAGCAATGGCATCATGAGGTATCGATTAATTGGGGTGGGCTGAGGAGGAGAGTAATGACATACCGGTATAGATGTCTAGCTAGAAAAATGAGATGGAGTGACACGAGCTACATGAGAGGAATTAGTTATAAAAAGAAATATGTTTTCAATAAAAAGTGGCGATATAAATAAATATGAGAAGTAGTAGGATCCAAGCATTGATAAAAATGGTGAGACTTAGAATAACCGGGAAAGACATATGGGGAAGATTTGGGTTCAATTTTGTGATGGAGATGAGGTTTGAGCCATGGATAACATAGACAACCAAAGACATAGAGGTTATGATAGTTAGGAGACTATTAAAAAAGAGAAACAAATGGTAAGGTATTTTGAAGAATAGGAGTGTGCATGCAATTTATGAGATAGATAGCAATCTAACATGCAAAGGTCTAGAATTGTAGTAATGTAGAGGAATGATGAAGAAGAGTAAGTTTAGTTTCAAGGATATGACAATGACGACGCTTGACAACCCTAACATTAGCCGATAAGAAGTGGGTAAGGCCAAGGTACTCACTACCTCCATCCGAGTATACTTGTTATAATGGGTAAATGAAAATTTTTTTCCTCAAGTAATTTAAAAGGCTAAAAAATAGGAGTAACCTTATATTTTTGTTTAATCGGATATAGCCGGATGTATTTAATATAGTGATCAACAAAAATAATATAATAGCGAAAACTATCAAAGGACATAATAAGAACTAAGCCCTAAACATCTATATAAATAAGTTCAAGTGGCCTAGATCTTTTTAAAGATGAAACACCAAATAGTAATTTGTGACTCTTATTACAAAGGTAGGAATTGTAAGAATTTAAAATGAAAGATTTAAAGAATGGGAGATTATGATCGATAATAACTTATTGAAAAGTGCATAGATTGAGATGACCAAGACATTGATGCCATAATGAGTATGTATGTCTTTGGCTTGCAAAAAAGGCTGGAATGAAAGTAGATGTGGTTGAGCTTAGCCATTCATAAATGTCCTTTACTTCAGACCTCAAACAAGAATTGCACTCGTGGTCAAATCCTTCAAAAGAAAGAAAGAGAGAAAAAATTCAATGAACGTGTTATTAGGGGTGCAAAATTAAGACAAAAAGTAAATTGTGTTGAATTTTAAGAGAATATAAGACATTCTGAAGAGTAAAAGAATGAGTGGGGGTAACAAGTCAGGCGGAACTCATGTGAGAAATTAGAATGTTATTACCATCTCCAATAATGATGTCATTACTACCATTATAATCGGAATGAATAAACAAATTCGAAGGTTAGAGATAATGTGATGTAAGACAATTGAATAAAAAACCTAGTTACCTTCAAGCAGGGACTAATGTACGTCCAAGTAAAATTAACTTGTGGCTAAAAAAAATGTGACTTACAAGCTTAAGCAATGTGACCATATTTGTCACATATTTGACACTCGCACCTTGTGCTTCTTGAAATGCATGAAGGATGATCTGCTAGTGAGAGCTATGATAGTTCAATAAGTAATACCTTTATTGTAAGGAATATGAAGAATTTTTGGTATTATTATGACTGTCATGAGGTTTGTTGTAGGAAGAAAAATTGTTGTGTTTAGTGCCTCTACGAGGTTTGTTAAAGTTGTTACACTAGTGAAATTGTATAATAATAGGAGAGGAGTCTTTCTTCACTTTGTCGTGTATTAAAAAAATTTCATGATCGAGAGCTTGTTAAATAGCTCTTCATAGGTGATAGAAATATCCAAAGTGCGGATAGTTATACCGATTACTTTATAATCGGATCCGAGACCACCGAAGATGTTGATCATGAGCTTATCATTGTCGACGGAGGAGCCACCTATGGCTAGTTCATCTACAATTGCATTTATATCCCGTAGATAATCTACTATAGGTTTGGTGTCCTTAAACATTTTAGCCAAGCTTGGTTTCAAACCATAAATTCTAGTATGAGACTTATTAGCATTAAGATATAGAAATGTTATCCCATGCCTGTTTGGACATAGAAGCTACTACAATTACATGTGCAATTATAGCATCAATTGAGGACAAAATGGCATTACGTAATAAGTTATCTTATCTCTTCCATAATTTAAACTCTGGATTAGGGATAGTATGATCATCATGTTGAATGGTACTGGTTATGCAAGTGTGGGACCCATCCATGTAGCTCATGAAATCATATCTATGTAGAAGGGTAGTAAGTTGTGCCTTCCATATTAGATAAGTGCTACTATTGGTGAGCTTAAAGGGGATTTGAACAGCTACATTGAAGGTGATTAGGTTAGGGAAGGATGCAACTTGGGTTACTATGGTTGAAGTAGGGGTAATTTATGTTTGGATATTTCCATTGGAGGAAGAGACAGACTTCCATGGTTTGTATTTTAGATCCGGCTCACTTGGAGCTTAATGATGCTTTAATACCATTACAAAACAAGAACCTTAAAGTAAAGTTTTTTTATTTATTTCAACCACACTAATGATTGTAGTATATGCTAAGTTATATACTGCAACTATATTTACAAGATAATCTTGTCTTGTAGATAAGAACGTTAGCTAAGCCTCGAATGCAAGGAAAATGCACAATAGATAAGGATCTGTGAGTTTGTTGAGAGAGGAGTTATCCCTATGACTTCGATATAGAGTGCAATGGATGAGGATGGTTACTAAAAACATCCTTAACATTTTCTTCCTTCGATTATGAGCAAATTTTATTCTAGCGAGTACCGGAGGTGCTATCGGGGTCGGAAGACGATGCATAAGTACATTATACCGACCTTATGAGGCTAGCCAAAAGGAATGACTTAGGAGAGAATGAAGGGCAATAAGTTGCTAGATATTTAGAGAGTCTAAAATCACTTATCAAAGATAAAATAAGGGTACAAGTAATGAGAACCCTATTCGAGGCTTGAAATATGGCTTTAAAAACTAAACCGATGTTACGAGAAAAGAGCATACCAGATTATTCTCGTAGAAGTTATAATAGAGATAATTATAGAACCTTTAATGATATGAACAAGTCCATATAGGATGTCCCTACACGTATTGATAGGCATAAAGAAGACAAAGCTTTGGGAAAACAAAAGGTTGCGAGAGGTGAAAGAGGTTTAGAGGATCACGAACCCATATGTTAAACCAATTTTGTGTAAATGTTTCAAATGCAACCAACTTGGTCATAGGTCTAATGATTGTCTCCTTAGAAAGTTTGTTCATATGGTAGCATGAAAGGAAATGGATGGTGAAATTTGTTGTTAGCCTAATAGAGACAATAATGAATATAAGAAGGATGATGATTGCAAAAGTTATACGATGAAAGAGGATGATGCTAACACCAAAGCTAGAAAACAACACACAACAACATCAATTGTTTCGAACCGGATGTATTATCAATAACTAATTATTTGATGTCATTATCTCGTAGTGACAGCTATAAAAATATTATAGGTACGAATGTTGTGGGCAAGCCGGGATTGAAAGTGGAGAAACATATTAATCCTTATTCAATCGACTAGATCTTGTTAGTTGATGTTGTAGACATGGATGCTTACTATTTGGTATATAACGGACCTTCGTAGTTTGATGTTGTAATATAACATGATGAAAGATAAAATTATATAGATTAGAAAAAGAGGGTGAGAAGTTTACTTTACTACCTATAATTAAAGGGAAGTTCCATATCTAAAACCCCTAAGGTGGAGAATGAGACTCTCTTTATGCTCAATCATTCAGGTATAGGAGATGGAGGTTATGGCTAAGGAGTCCAAAGAGATTTATATGGTGATTGTGAAATTGGCCTTGACGAGTTGAGAGTGAAGCCTAGATTATAGAATACCCAAAAGAAATATAATCATTATTAAAGGAATTTAAAGGGGTCATTTTACAAGATTTACTAGAAGGCTTGCCTCCTATGAGAAACATTCAAGCACCATATTAATCCGGTTCCTGGTCCCATTTTACTAAATTTACATTGTTATAGGATAAACCAAAGGAGAGCAAGATTTTGAAGAAAATGGTTGAAGAATTAGTATGCAAGGGGAAAATCCAAGAGAGCATAAGTCCTTGTATAGTACCTACATTACTAACCTTAAAGAAAGATGAGAACTTAAGGATATACATTGATAGTCGAGCCATTAACACAATTATCATGGGATATAATTTTTCAATTCCCATACTCGAATGATATGCTTGACTTGTTACATGGTGCTAAGGTGTTTTTGAAGATTGATCTTCAAATTCGATACGACCAGATTCAAATTAGACTTGGAGATGAATGGAAGATAGCTTTCAAGACCAAAGAAGGACCATATAAATGGATTGTGATGCCATTCGAGCTAACTAATGCTCCAAGCACCTTTATAAGGTTAATGAATCAAGTACTAAAACCTTTCATTGGTAAATTTATAATAGTTTATTTCAATGATATCCTCATCTATAGTTGGTCAAAGAAGAGTATATTTTGCATTTGTTAGAAGTTTTAATAGTATTACAGGAAAATAAATTATATGCTAACTTGAAGAAGTGCAACTTCATGACCAATAAGTTCGTTATTTTTTGGTTATATAGTTGGTGTTGATAGTATTTAGGTAGATGAACAAAAGCTTCAAGCTATTAGAGAATGACCCACTCCTAAAATAGTAACCAATGCTTTCATAGGTTAGCAACATTCTATAGGCGAGTTCATTAAGAACTTTAGTAGTGTTACAACACCTATCACAGAGTGTTTGAAAAAAGGAAAATTCCAATGGAGTGAAGAAGTTGTCAATATTTTTGTTGTTTTGAAGGAGAAGTTGTGTACTCGCACATGTCTTATTATTACCGGAATTTGAAGTGTTGTTTGAAGTCTGTGTGATGCTAGTGATGTAGGGATACGTGTTGTTCATTCTCAAAGAAAAAGACTAGTAGCCTATTTTAGTGGAAGCTTAGTGATACAAGAAGAAAGGGCTATGAATGATAAAAAAATTATACTCTATTATGTGTGTTTTGAAGACGTGAAAGGATTATTTGATTGGTAGAAAGTTCATCTTATATTCGGATCATGATGCTTTAAAGTATTTAGCTAACCGAGAGATGGATTGTCTCTAGGTGGTCCTATTTCTTGAAAAAAAATCATGTTCTCTTTGAAGCATACGGCTAGGATACAAAATAAGGCAGTCGATGCCTTGAGCGGATGTGTAGAGCTTATATGAGACATATGCGGACTTTGGTAGTATATGGAAGAAATGTGTTGCTAACCAATTTGTTGAGGATTTCCACATTTATGATGGTTTCCTTATGTGAGAAAATCAACTCGCGTGCCTCAAACTTCTTTAATGCATAAATTGATCCATGATCCACGTTGGGGAGGCCTTGCGGACTTAGGCCATGAGAAGATCATTATTATAGTACGGAAGAGGTTTTATTGGTTGTATTTGAGAAGGGATGAATCCAAAATTATGCAAAGGTGCTATGTGTGTCAAACAACAAAAAGATAGTCTCAAAATACTAGGTTATATATATCTTTACCTATTTTAGAAAAAAATATGGAAGGATCTCTCTATAGACTTTATGTAAGGTTTGCCATAGACACAAAAAGGTATGGATTTCGTTTTTGTGATTATTGACGATTTTGTGAAAATGGCACATTTTATATCTTGTAAGAAGACCTCGGATGCCAATGGGATAGCCGGGTTGTTTTTTAAAAAGGTTGTTCGATTACATGGCATGCCTAAAACCATTACCTTAGACCATGACATCAAGTTTCTTGGCTATTTTTGGAAGACATTATGGAGGCTATTTGACTCTATTAGGAGATGAATCAAGTAAGAAAATTGAGTAAAAAGATAAAAATAATCACACAACACAAAAATTTACATGGTTCGATAATTGTATCTACTTTACACTCGTACTAGAATTTATTCTTAGGGTTTTTATCAATTGACAACTATAAAAACAACTATAAATATAAATAAGTGATGTTGTCTTTATTTATAATAAGACTGCCATATGCATAACGCTCTATACTACAAGTCCCTATCCACATCGGTCTTTATAACTTAATAGATTCCTCACTTAATTTCAGCAGTATGGCTCACCCGGGGACAGATGGACAAGCTGAATCAGTAACAGGACTTTCGACAACTTGATTCGAAGTATTTGTGGAGATAGATGCGGTTCATATTGCCACTGGGAAATCTCCCTTTTCTATTATGTATATGTCACCACTATATCATGCTTTTGATTGATCAAGCTTCCTCGTACCTATGGAGCTAGCGTGGCTATGAAGAACCTAGCAGACTAATAGCAAGCTGTTCAGATTTCAGATAAGGTACGACAGAAATTGGAGAAGGCTAATGTTAAGTATAAGAAGGCAGCTGACCAACATTGTCGAAAGCAAGTCTTTGAAGTTGGTGATGGCATTCCTGTGCAAATAGAGGTTTCCAATGGATACTTATAGCGAGCTACAACCTAAGAAACATGGTCCTTATAAGGTGTTTGAGAAAATCAATGATAACACATATGTTGTGGACCTGCCAAACACAATGGGCATTTCCAAAATGTTTAATGTGGTAGACATTTATCCATTTTATTCTTCAACCGTTATGACCAAATGCACAAGATAACTAAAGGTCGAGCTCTTTTCAATTAGAGGGGACTGACAAGGGCGTTAGACTGGAGGGTCTGGATCACCTAGAGTCCGTGAAAAGGAGGCAACTAAAATTGCAGCATTTGTTTCGTATCTTAGTTTTTGTATTTACCTCTAGCTTTAACTATTCTTTAAAGTCTTTTAGGGTAATATTATGAGTCCTATATATGTCAAGAGTTGGAAAACTCTTGGGAAAATTTAGAGATATTACATACATACTTTTGCTTTGTTTTGAATCTGAGAAACTTTTCTACATCCTTTGTTTTCAAGTTTCAAAACAGAGGGCAACAGAGACTGACGTTTTTTTGTTCAACTTGCTTAAGCTTCCTGCGAAAGCTTTATTTTGCTTACTCGCTGCGTCATGAAAGCTCCGTGAAATCCATATAGGACTCTGCAAGGCAATGCTATTTTGGCAACTGGCTCACTTGTGAACTTTTTTGTGTCAATTATATAAGCCTATAAAGAAGTAAAACAAATACATTAGATATAATTACTCATCCAATACTATGATTATTACTTACAGAAAGCAAGATTGACTTACTTTAGACATGTTTGTATCTTCATTGTGGACAAAAGTGATGATCCAACCATCATCATCTTCTTGACTTCCTAGTTTAGGAACAAAGGCAGCTCCAGTGCAGAAAGTATTCTGCTCGAATTTATGGTATTCCACCTTTATCAGCTCTTCAGATTGGCCCTCTTTCTAGTTCACAGAACCAAAATAGTATCAGGAAAAATTTTGAAGTGTTATAAAAGAATGTTAATAACATATAAGAGTGTAATTAATTACAGGATTGGTTTTATCAGTTTTTGGCTCTTCAAAGTATAGTTTTGCTAGACTTCCATATTTAGCCATACCTGAAATGTCAAGTGTTAGTAAATTAATCATCAGGATTATAGTAGATTTCTATAAAAATAAAAATGTTATTTATAATCAATCACCTGAGTCAGAGCTAGCACTGGAATCGGTAACTTGGGTATAGCCATATTTATTTTTAACACCAGTAAAATCTCTATTGATCATTGGAAAATCCATAGAGAATTCAGTTCCTGTCAGGTATCTTTCCTTAACATCTTCAGTTTCCATATTTAATCTCCACTCATAGCAACGAGTAAAAAGCGATCCTTCCTCTGAATCAGTATACTCATCAATTGATTCTACATGCTTAAGCCTACTTGAAAACCACTTAAATTTATTCAGACCCATATCAGGTCCTGGTATGATTGAATCAAGAGCCTTACATGCCCTCACAACAACCTGTTCAACCTCATAAAATCACATTTATTTATCAGAATTAACTTAAAAAGGTTATAACCAAGTTAAGGCCTTAAATGACGTAAATAGTTTATATAATGTTTCTACTAATTATCATACCTAATCACCATCCTTAAAACAATTAAGAAGGTGAAATGTGCAATTTGATTCAACATGAAACCACTTGATTGAGTCTACATCGCCATAGCGAGACATGATTCCAATTCTTGTATATTCTGACTTGTTAAATTTTATTAACCTATATTTACACACATCAGGGTCCATAACAGATATTACAAGCTCAGCTCTCATGTCATGTACCGTACGTATGAAGTACAGAAGGGTGTTTAGTACTCACGGGCCACCTTTAAGGAGTCTGTGTAGGTCTATAGTGAGTGGAAAATCCATGATCACATTGTACCTACAAACACAAATTCATCTTGACAATACAGCTTTTAATTTCCTCTTATAATGTCCATGTTTCCATAACAAAAAAAGATCGGATGATAATTTACCTCTGTGTAACTCTTATGTCATGAGAAAGGGAACACCTATTGAATTTGAGATCAACTTTATGAACTAATCTCTTTCCATCAGCTAAACATTTTGAAGTTAAATTAGTACATAGAGAATGTCACAAGGCTTTTAAAAACTTTCATTAAGCAAAATTTGTTTTCAGTACTGTTCTAATTGAAATGCATATACCTGAGACTATTCCTAATTCCATGAAAGGTTTTCTTGCATCCACCCCCATTATAACCAGCTCCCCTATTTCTGGGGCTCTCTGCAACGAGGAAAAAAAGAAGAAAAAGAAAAAAAAGCTATTTAGATAGAAAAAAATATGGTATCTTAACATTTCAAGTCATATGGAAGGACATGAACCTTGGGATGGTTGGTAAAAGGCCGATTCCAAGCTCCATTGACATCCCAATTTCCTGAAGTGTCAAGTGTGAAGATGTTGATTTCTTGAGGCACGTGATTTTCAGCAACTGAGTAGTACTTCCCTGAATGCTCAAAAACGTTGGTGTTGCTAATATACTTGTTAATTTTGCCAAATCGTAGTTGCATATCCAGTTAGGAAGGCATGATCAGCTAATAAGCCATGGCCATAAAGCCTTCAGCAATTAATTTTAGTCCTATTTTAATTTGCACCAGGGTACATGATTGAAAAAAAAATTGTTTTTTGCATATATATGCCCACCCACCAAATTTAGCAAGTAAGCTGATAATATTGTTGTGGAAGTGCCTTCTATTGCAGGAAGAAAAGATGGCTTGTTTCTTTGTTTTTCTAACTTGAATGTTTCGATTTCAACATATTTGTTGTTGTAGGTGACTGTCCAGCTTCCATCACTAACTTTATCAAAATACAAAGCATGAAGCATCCCTTCTCCTTCGACCCAAATGTGACTTGATCGTCCAAACATAGATACAGTTGATTTTAGTCCTCCAAAAAGAGGATTTGATCCTACAATGTACATATTTTTCAACATCTAAATAATATCACTAGCCTTTTGTGTGTAAAAACAAGCACTTGCAAGGTTAGCAGATTTATTCATCCATATATATATATATATATATATACATACATGTATACATGTAAAAATATGTATGTATGTATATGTATATACATATACAGATATATAGATATATGTGTGTGTGTGTGTGTGTGTGTATATGAGAAGAAAACTGGTAGGGAACACTACTCTTATCCCAGGTTCCTTGAAATATACTCTCTGTAAAAGAGAGAATTTTTGCCCTTTTAACCCAAGATTGGAAACTTACAACACCAAAAAACCTCTGGAGAGTAAGATAGGGAAATTATAAGAGTAAAAAATTAGATTAATAGACATTTCAAATTCATTGATCATCATGATGTTAACAATTTGCTTGCTTCCAACTTTTATTAAATATATGTATATAGAGTTATACAATCAACAATTAATTAATAATAAAAAGTGAGCAAACTTATTTTAACAAGCACCAAAAAAATGAGCTAAAAAAAACAAAAATACAAGACCTAGGTAACCATATATCAGCAGCAATTTTTACTTACTCATAACTAAGTCAACAGTTTATGCTTTGGGAAAAAAAACTAGGTTAAATGGTCCAGTCGTATTCATAATGTTGTAAGAAAAGATCTTTAAAGGCATGTTTTCAAGAGGACAAATAACAACTAGAACTTGGAAATTTCTAATCAGGGTATCCTTTCAAATCTGAAGATGGGGTATGTAGGAGATTCGGAGACTAGTGGAGGTGTGGAGGGGCACCTCCTCTTGCTTAAGGTCTTCCATAAACAAATAAATACAAGTCATATAAATTATAGTATTAAATAGTTAATTAAATAAACTAGTTCAAGACAACGAGGCACGCTCAGCACCAGTGGTCTAGTGGTAGAATAGTACCCTGCCACGGTACAGACCCGGGTTCGATTCCCGGCTGGTGCATTCCTTCCTTTTTTGGCTCCCAAAAAAGAGAAAAATTAAAGGATAAATCAAACTAGTAGGCCTGATTTTGAAGTCATTAGATATTACCTAAAAACCAAATAATACCATTCAAAAACAGCAAGTGTTCTTCATTGAAGCAACGCAATCTCTATGTGTTTTTTAATTACGTTAACGTCTTCCTATGTTTGATGCTATTATATGGATGTATTCCACGAACCAAATTCCAAAGCAACTTTCCACTGTTTGTCTTCAGTAATGGCATTTCTTTTATTGGATTATTTAGGCACACAATGAGGATAAAAATAATCAAGAAAACGGACCATTTCTTATATATTCACCTTCTGGGAAATCACTTGGAACTTTTCCTTCGATGCTGGTGACAACAACAGCTTCCTGTAGTTCATCAACTGGAGCAAAGTTTCTCTGCAGGTGCATGCATTAATTGTAGTCAAGTTATCTAGCAATGGACGCAGATTCACATTTACGTATACCTGAGAGGGGAGCAATGGCTGGTCAACAAACTCGAACATGGAATCAACAAAAACATCCAGTAATCTCAAACAAGTGTTCTTGACGGTTTTGGAAACATCAATTTGCATAGAAAGTTGTTCCAACTCTACGAAGAATGGCTGCTCATGGGGGATGAGAACAGTATGTCAGTATTAATAGGTGAAATCATGAGCTGGAATATCTTATATATCAATATCTGATTCATTTCAAAGAGCTTTCTTCACGAAAAACCTTAATTAGCTCATCGAGATCTAGAGAAACTTACCTTGATAAAAGAAGAGAGTGAAGTTTTCAAATTATGAAAATTTTCTGAAACAGAAGGCCTCTGTATACAACACTTCACTTGAAAAGCCAAATGCGATGAAGATGCCATTTCTCCCGCTTGCTACCACCTCTGTACAAGAAGCGGGTTGAAATGATGTACAATCTACGGGCCATAAATAGTCAGGGGTCGTATTTATAGAGGCCCCTAAACATTAAAATAATACTTTAGTTTTAAGAAATTTTGAAGAATTTAATTGGCATTTTAGTACATGAATAATGAACTGTTTAAAAAATAACTTATATTAATTTTAAAATTTTAATAAAAGAAAGAAAGTAGGTAAAAGACTTGAGAGACCCCTCATATACGATATATGTACCTTTTTCAAAATAAACTTAATCTGTTTCTGATTTTTATTTTTTTTTACTAATTTTTGATAATATCAATAGCAAGTACCACCCGCCTTCTTTAACAAATTGCGGGAACAAAATCCCACATTGAATTACGAGTCGAATATTCAATCTACAATACAAAAACAAAATTCTTAAATTTATCTCAATATTTATGTCAATTATTTATTTTTATTATTGTATTTTTAACTTGATCAATTAATTTTTATATTCTTTGAATTTGTTCAGTTGATGAATAACTACTTAAATCTCAACATTAACTGTGCATATTAATTATGTGTTAACTAAATACTTTTCATTTTGAGATATTTTTTATATTTATATGGACCCTATGTCATTACATAAATTGTTTTAGATTTATTTTTTTTAAAAGACAATTGATCAATATATCAATTTATATGTATAAGACAATTTATCTGATAATATAAATCTTACACGAATATAGAAAATCATTTCATAAATAAAAAAATATTTAATAATATCATATTCATGTTCACGGGAGAATCAAAATTGATAAAAATTAGAAATTGCATCAATTTGATAAATTTAAAAACCACAAGAAATAATTGAACAATTTTAAAGAATACAAAATTTAATTGACCAAATAAAAAAAATATTGAAATAAAAATGAATAATTTACACAGACACAAAGGTAAAATTACTTAAGAGTTTTCCTAAAAACAAAAATCACAAAAACAATAATTCATGCAAAAGAATAAAGGAATAATTTCATTTTTATTTTTTTTCATTTAAACTGATCAATCAATTATTATTTTTTGACATTGATGCTAATTTTCACCAGTTCGCAAATTGATAGATAGAAATGACAAAGGAAATAATATAAAGGATGGATTATAATTATGGCATGACTTTGAACATTTGAGATTACCCAATAGAATACTATTGTTTATAGAATACTATTGTTTAGATTAGAGTGACTATTTTTTTTATCCGCGCTACGTTTATAGTTAGACAAAAGATATCAAATTATTTTTAAAAAATTATTTCACTTTGATATCTCATATTATATTATATGTTCATCAAAATATATCAAATCAAAACTAAATAAAACTTTATTTAATTTTATCATTTTTTTAATCAAAATTTTGTATTTGATTAATTATTTTTTATATTTTCATAAATTTTTTTATTAAAAAATATCATTTATTTATCTCTATCCATATTTTTAACTAAAAATTTATTCTGTAATTTTTTTTCTAAAAATCTTTTGCCTTAAAATTTTTAATTAAAAAAATCAAAGAAAAAAGAAGTAAGGACTAAAATGACCAAAATCAAATAAAAAAATTTACAGATTAAAAACATAATATTTTAAAAAAGATCAAATTATAATGTTATGAAAATTTTCGTAATAAATATTTTAAAAATATTTAAAAATTATAAAAATATCACTTTACAATAGACAAAATAACATATCTAAATTTAGATAAATAGTATATATGAATCTGAATAATTAATATTTGAAATAATATAATAAATAATAAACTTATGTTTTGATTTATTATTATCATAATCATCATTATTATTTAATAGATGGTCAATAGTATACAGTTGCCGATATGAGCATCTTAGACCTTTTAAAATGCCTCCTGACATTTCCGTCGTCCCATGAGTGTGTTTACTTTATATTTTTGGACGCATTGGGAGTTAGAAAACCAATGGAATATGCTTTAGTTTCTGAAATTTCTATTGGCAGATCAGATCAAGAAAAATCATTTTATTTGGAATAAATGATCACCGTCATCTTCCTGCACTAGCTGAAACCCTAAGTAAGACTCAAAATCACACATCCAACTTAGGTAAGGATCGGAGCTGTGCAATCAGTGGTTTGTTAACAAATATGACATTAGAGCTTAGCTGATAGTAACTAAATGTTTTCTTTAATTTATTGCCGAGTGCATTCAATTTGACTCTCAATTTTTATAAAAGAAATGATTCCTTCATTAAAAGATGAGATAAGAATTTCACTTTCCACAAATACGTAAAAAGGCTTCTTCTTTTTTTAAAAAAAATAATAATTCTTGTTGACCATCACTGCTATCGCTTGTAGATTCGATTTCAATTTACAGTTACAACAAGTTTATTATACATCTGTTCGGAGTTTATCTCTTCTGTACTCGAAAAATATTTGCTGGAATTCCTTATCATAAAAATAAATAAATAACAATATGTATGGGTAGAATTTTTATTTAATATCATCAAAGCCCAGAACGACACGTCCAGCTTAATGTTTCAATGGTGCCCCCACAGCCCACAAAATGACAAAAAGCGTCTTGTGTTATTTAAGAGTAAATTATAAATTACTCCCAGTAATTTCGAAAAGAAAAATTAATTAATTCTTTTTTTCAAAAACTAATTATTCAATTCTCAAAATTCTAAATTTTATTATAATTTAATATTTTTATCATTTTTTAAGTTTTTTAATTTTTTATTTTAAAAAATAAAAAGTAAAAAATATGGAATTGGTGATGAGAAAAAAATAACTTTTTAAAATAAAATAATATAAAATTAAGTATATAAAATTAAGTATGTTAAATATTGATTAAATACTTAAATAATCAATTTTTAAAATAAGAAAGATTAATTTATTTATTTCTCAAAATTATAGAAATTAATTTATAATTTACTCTGTTAGTTAATTAGTTATATTTCGAAAAAAGAAAACGACGACCATCTCTGAAGTCATATTGCAGCTGCTTTATTAACGCAACCATTGGGCTACAATGTAAGGACAGATCTCCTAATACAAGGACAGATCAAGTGATTATTATTATTATTTTGAAAGTGTAAAATACTACAACCTCGTGACATGATGATAATTAAAATTTATATTTTTAAAAATAAAATTTACAAATATGAAAAATTGTATTTTCTACTTTTACGATGATAATTTCATTTGAATAAAATCAATATTTACAAAATACATAATAATTAAGAAAAAAAATTAAAAGAGATATTCACTCGTTTATTACTATTCATTACTATTCATTTACCGTAATTTAGCTTCTTTTTTTTTTTTTTAACTTTTTTGGGCAATAATATGAAAGTTATACAAATTTTTATACTTTAATCCATGATATATTTGAAAATTTTATTTCGATCCATATCTTTATTTATGGATACATTTTGGTCCCTAAGTATAGATAGAAGAGAGAAAAGAAGAGAGAGACAAGAGGAGTTAGAGAGTATCGGCCAACTTTATTTAGGCCACTTTGACGAGAGAAACTCTATTAGATTTTTTTTACCTATGAGAGATGAGTTTATTCATAGTGATTTTAAGCAATTAAATAATTAGAGGATGTAGATTTGAGACAAAAAACAAAATCGATTTGATTATGTATTTTTTTAATATGCATAAAAATGATTTTTAAGACTTAAAAGTATTTATTGATTTTATTTCAATTATTTAGAGGTGTTTAATAGAAAAAATAATGTAAAAATTGGTTTCTTGGGGTCTGAATTTTTTTTTTTACACTTACACATCCAAAGCTCCTAGCAGGATCTATTAGGATTAGAACCAATGACATCTTTTTGCAAAAGACTATTACCACTAGGCTACAAGCTTATTGGTGGTCTAAAAATTGATCTATGATTTTTCGATCAAGCTTCGGCGAGCTATTGCAAGTTTTTCTTTTCTTTTCTTTTCTTTTGTTTTTGCACTTGCTTGGCTGCACATGCCTAGCCTTTTTTTTTTTCTTCTTTGGGCTAGCCGGTAGCCTAGGCTTGGAGTGGAGAAGTAGGCTTAAGCGACCTTAGCGCACGAGGCTTGACTTGTAGGGCCACCGGACCGAGCTAGCCGGGTTGCACATGTTTGACCTTTTTTTTTTTTTCAATAATTTATTTTTATATTTTTTTATCATGAAATTAGGTGTGAAAATATAAAAAATAAATCGTTATTTTTTTTTTTAGTTTTAAGTATAGTTTGACGTAATATAATATACATGATATTTTTTAATATTTTAGTTTGAATATATATATATATTATTCTTATTATTTAAAATTCATTTCTTCGATTGCTTGTTTTTTATTAAAATTATCATCCAATTAATTTTTTAATTTTTTGATATAATTTATTTGTTAACAAAATTTTTTTAAATGGATTTTGAAATAAAATTCTAGAACGTCATTGTTTTTTTTAAAAAAATATATTATTATAATTTTTATGATTGATTATTTTTATAATTTTTAAATGAGAATAGCATAGTTGCATGTATAAATTCTAATGTGAGAGAGAGAGAGAGAGAGAGAGAGAGAGCTAAAAGTGTGTTTTAGATAATTTGACTCAATTTTTTTTAAAAAAATTAATAATTTGTTAAAAAAAAGAATTTTTAGGTTTTATTTGCTTTATATATATAACTAGAATTTATCAAAACCAATTTTATAGTAGTTTTTATTTAAATCTATTCACTTTGATATATTTTATGCGATTTAGATGGGCATTTTTGTATATTTATTTATTTATTTTATATACTTTGAATTTGCACACATAATATCAATTATTTGTTCTTTATTTTTTTTCATGTTCTAAAATATATATTTTTAAATAAAATAATTTAATTAATGTTTTGAAAGAATCTCCCATTATTCAAATATAAATTTTTATGCTAATATCACAAATTATTTTGTTAATATATATATATATAAATTAAAAAATTTACTCAATATATAGATTCGATTTACATT